GCCTGAAGTGAGGGTAAGGCCAACACTCTGACAATTGTCATTGGAACAGTTGTCTCCACAGGACAATTCCTTACCTCCAAAGACATTTATCACAACGTCCCCAACATCGCAAACTTATTCACATTAGACTTAACTTAGCATTGCAGTAATACAAATGCAAAGTTCATTTTACATACCCTTTGTCATTCTCCCCTCTCTTTTTCATGCTTGCTCTCTCTCTCTCTCTCAAGTTATTAATACAGAACATTAAGGAATTAATACCTGGCACCAATTCATAATGGCATTACCAACTTACTATTTCAGCTATGTAAGTGCAGCCTAGCGTGTAATGTGAGAAGCCAGATTGCTGTTTTGACTGGTTTGTAATTTAATTTTTAAGTCTTTGTTAGCAGCTCACAAGAGACATGAAGAACATAGTGTGCTAAACAGCCTGTGGCCCTTCTCAGGGCTACCTATTACTCAGGGACAGGACTAGCACAAGTAAACATTTTGTTTGGCAAAAGTGATCATCTTGCAACATTAATTTCTCTTCCTGCCTGCTATTCACACTTGTAACTAGATCACGTGTAAATTTAACCTGCTACCTAAACAAGTCACCATTATTTGTATAAGCAATGGAATAATAACTGATTTATGAAATGTTACATTCACTTATTTATCATTTACTGGATTGTGAGACTTGTATACAAACGGGGAGCTTGTGTTTCATATATATAATACCGGCTGCAGTATTTTCTATTCCACACTTGTGCATGCGTTAACGTTGAGGCATTTTGTATTAAGGTGATATTAAAGTCGAAAGATTTTCAAGCTTTTGCAAATGGATGAAGCTTCTTGATGTTCAAAAGTTTTATAGGGTTATCCACTATTGAGCCGAAGGATACAGCCGTAGCTTCGGCTGATCCTTTGGCTCTCTTCGGCCGCTGGAGCCCTTCGGTTCAGTCGAACCGAAGGCCTGTTGTACGGGCTATTCACAATAGCCTGTACAGCAGCCAAAGGCGTCCGAGCATCTCAGCTGAACCAAAGGCATATGCTTCGACTCGGCTGAGCCAAAACGGGGCGACCAGCCTGCCAGAGGCCGGCCATTCGCCCTGCAAATGACAGCAGGACGGAGCCAGCCGTGATCTCATGGCTGGCTCTGCCCAGTTGTAGTGACAGATGAGCGTCCCCAAATGACCTGGGGACGCTGATCTGTCAATAAACAATGACGTCACGGTCGGCTCTGCCCAGTTGTTGGCAGGGAACCTGCTAGAAGACTCTAGCAGGTGCCGGCCAATAGAAAACAGTTTGGCGGAGCTAGCTGTCACTGTTGGCTCCGTCCAATTGTTGTTTTTTTTAATCTTCCTATTTTTTAACATTTTTAAATCATTTTGCAGTTTTTTTTTATTATTATTACATTCCTTGCACTTCTTTTCTATTCTGCTCGGTATCAAGGAGGTAGCGAGCAGAATAGCTGAGCCGAATGCCGCTTGCAGTGGTGCTACTCCAACATTGCAATGGTCAAGTGCTCGTTTTGGTCTGTGATCCCACCTGGCTGCTAGACCGGTCCCCACAGCCTCTTCTCCCTTGGGCTCTGTCGGTTTAAGCCCCACTGACAATCACATCTAATGAAGTTCATTCACGATTCAAGTGCATTAGATGTGAGGATCCCGAGGGACAGAACGGGGGGAGGCGGACAGGGGAGGTGAGCACTTGCTGCTGCAGGACCGAGGATCAGGTGCATATACCTTCTGTATTCCAGCCCTAAAGAGAAATGAGCATTTAACCCTTGCAGTGCAGGGGTATACGCACTGCAAGGGTTAACTTTAAAGAACTGGAGTTCTTTAAATTAATGTGGCTAAGCGGTTGAGGAGTTTTGTTTCAAGATATCTCAGGATATTATCTTAAAAAGACTGATCATCACCATCATACATTACATTTTACAAGGAGCTTCTTCTTTTTCTGCCCCTGAAGGGGGGGACTTGGTTACTAAGAGTATATCATGTATATTGTTGTATTTTTATTTAGAACTAGATCAAAACCCTTCATCATGAAGTAGATGAAGTGGGAGGCTGTTTACTTAACTGTTCTTAAGTAATGGAAACCTCCATTCACTCTGAATACCCAATCGTGTGACAGAAATAAAAAATTAGATTACAAAAATGTTTAAAAATTATTTTTCTAGTACGTGATTAATTCATTAAAATGAACACAGCTTTAACTTATTTACTAAGCTCAGTGCACATTCACCTTTCTAATTGAACAGTTCCTAATCCTTTAGTAAATAACCTACGAGGTGTTTAGCTTTTAATGCCCATACATATAACATTTGACTTCATTAACCAATAATATTTTTTAAACTAATCTTGGGGTAACAAAAGGTGTGTTGAACATGGAAGGTACATGTACATGTAAGAAACAAATACACAAATGTACAGTGCGTAGTTCGGACCACAGCCATATTATGAATTGCTTTTGTTGGGTATTAAAAAACACAGACTTCATAAATATTTGCTTACCTCATTTGTAGGTCTGAAAGCGTTGCAATAGAAACACCTTACTAATTCCTTTTCAAAGTGAAATGTAATTTGTTACATTTATTTATTTTTGTTGTAATAATAATGAGGCTCTAAGATAACACTAACATCACGGGACTGCCAGCTGTAATTTAACTTTGGATGTTCTTGGGATTATCTTATCTGGAGTCCATAGACACAGAACAGTTCTCCAGTACTCCCCATCCTTGGCTCTCCAAACTATGCTGGCTTTTTCATACTAGCTTTATAGGTGCCATCATTGTTCATGACAACTATCAAATGCCTTAGTTTGTAGAATATGCCACTTTTCTTTATCTTTTGGTTTTTTGTTGCCAACCACTCTGTTTATGGGAATGAAAATGACCCCCTCTGTACAATGGACAATGAAATGTAAGATCTTGTTGTATGGCAACTTCCCAAGTCAAAGTACTCTGCCTGGCCAACTCTAATATTTTGTTGGACCACCTTTAGCTTTGATTACGGGATACATTTACTGTGGCATTGCTTCAGTAAGCTTATGCAATGTCACAACATCCAGAGTTAATTTTTCACCAAGATCTTGTAGTGATGAAGGGAGAGTCAGACCACTGCATAAAGTCCTCTCCAGCACATCCCAAAGAACCTCAATGGGGTGGCCAATCTATGTGTGAAAATTATGTCTCATGCTCCCTGAACAGCTTTTTCATAATTAGAGCCCAATGAATCCTGGCATTGTCATCTTGGAATATGCCCGTTCAGTCAGGGAGGAAAAAAATGAATTGATAGAAAAACCTGGTCATTCAGTATATTCAGGTAGGCAGTGGACCTCATTTTATGGGCACATAACATTGCTGAACCTAGACCTGACCAACTAAAGCAACCACAGATCATAACACTGCCCCCACAGGCTTGTAAGGTAGGCATGTGGGTGCATCACTACATCTACTTCTCTTCTTAACCTGATGTGCCCATCATTTTGGAACAGAGTAAATCTGGACTCAACAGACCACATTAACTTTTACCATTGCTCCAGAATCCAATATTTATGCTCCCTAGCAAATTGAAGTCTTTTTTCCAATTAGCCTCACTGATGATCTTCGCATTATATGTGGAAATGCTTTCACTTTTACCATTACACATAGCCATGAGTTCTATTGTTGATTTTTTTTACAATTTGTTTTGTTTTACAACAATGTGTAAGTGATCGCCGATCACGATCATTCAAGATTTTTTTATGACCACATATTTTTTTTTTAGTAGTGTCATTCAACTTCTTAGTTGTTTTCTTTGCTTGATGCAAGCCAATAATTTGTTACATATTTTCCACGACTACAGGATATATCTTCTGGCAAGGTTTTTTTAGGAAATGAGAAGCTACTTACTGCATCAGTTTATTCCCAGATAATTTTTTGTGCAAGTCATTCTGAATTGAGAAAGCTGGTTGGATGACCAGTGAAACGTCTTCAAGAAAAATACAGCAAGTCCAGTTGCCTTGACTTATTTTTTACAGACGCATCAGTTAGGGTTAAATAACTTGTTGATAGCTGAAACAAATTAATCATTGCAGTAGTTATCCAATGGAAGGCTCTTGCCTATTTGCTTTGCTAAATCCAGCTGGTAGTTTTTTTTGTGGTTGATGATGTTATCATCAAGCCCTGAATGTTGTGAATTTAATGGTGCAGCTCAGACAAAATGTAAAATTGAACATTGATTGATTTATTGCCAAAGCATTGTACCAGCATTGTTCTTCAGTTTCTTATCTAGACCTTACTGTAGTGTGCCAGGACATCCCATGGATTGCTGGTAATCTGGTGATTGGACAAGTCCTTCTTGTGATGCAGGAGAGCTATTCATAAACACACCCACTCTCCTCCATGCTGTCAGTCACATACAGTAAGCCTGTACTTAAAAGTCTATAACGGCCATCACAAGTTCCTGTAGATGCCAGCTACACACCGTAAGGTGTTGTTAGTGATTGTAGTGACTACAAAGGAAGATATGATGCAAACCTAAGGTATTTAAAGCTAAGTGTGCAGTGTGCAAAAAAAAGTTTGTTTAATTGCAAATTAAGTCACATAGGTCAATAAGCCAACATTTCAAGGCAACACAGCCAGATTTAAGCCTGCCTTGGAAGTTTAAATGGGATTGTTGTTAGAAGAAGCAAAGAGATAGGAAGCATGTGATAGTTGCTTTAGTGGAGTGTAAAATACTGAAATTAATGTAGATTGTTAAAAGCTTTGATTTCAGCACAGTTGCCGTGTTTGCTGAATAGCAGCATATACTAACTGATTGGTTTTACTTATTGCATTCACTTGTTCTTTAAAAGTCTGTCTCAGACACTAACTATCCAGTCCATTTAAAATGATTGATTGATAGTATAACATAGCATTCATTTGAAAGGCATCTCTTGGGTCCAGTCACTTCATCTTGGTGCATTGATACTATGATTGTAATAATAATGTCGTATGAATGATCTCAATCTGGTTTCTTAACTGTGTCTTGCAGATTCTTTAAGGAACTGGAAGGGAGACATCAAAGAAACATTCTTATTGAAGATATCAGTGATATTGTGGAGAAACATGCAAAATCTACCTTTGATCCATATGTGAAATATTGCACTAATGAAGTCTACCAGCAAAGGACGCTACAGAAATTAATGTATATTTTTTTCTTTAGTGTACTAGTTTTGTGTTCTGTGATTTCATTTCTCTCTTTAAATCTATACTATTTCCTTATTCTGTCATATCAAGGGGCATAGTATAAAAAATAAAGAACAGGTGAATCTTGGCACACTTATTGACAAATTTGTCTATATATACACAATAAGGAGAGGATATTTGTTGCACCATATGCAGTTGTGAAGTCTGAATTGTAAAGATAAGGACTTTAGGCTAAACACCACATTTGTAGCTTTCCATATACACAAAGAATGTGGAGATAGATGAGACAGTGGGTTTAGCAGAGTGGGTCTTCATAGGAATTATTGGTGAGTATTTAATTCATTTGTTTTCAATTTGAAAATGTACATTTTTCAAAATAATCAATGCCAACAAATGTAATATTGGTCATAGAATAAATAAAGACAATATTACTGAAATGTGTATCCTCAATAAAATGAGGAATCCAGAGGTGGGATGAATGGCGCTAAATCTTTCACCAGGTGTATGGCATCAAAAAACATAATTCCCCTCTTTAAAAATATAACCCATAGCCAGCAGTAACATTATGAATGTTTCAAGTTTGCTTTCTTGGCACAATATCTATAATTTTTTATGGAGCAGACACAAATAATATATGTATTCTTATTATTGGTGGAATATATTTATTAATATTGCTGAATATTATCAAGAAAATCGGTATGTTTAAATTTTCATATTTCATTCTATAACCTTGCAAATGATGCAAGCTTTCCAGAAATGTAACAGATTTTATTATTATTAATATTTAACATTCCTCAGTAATGTTTCCCTTTTCCACTGTGTGGTTGTGCTGCATTTGATGAGGTTTTCAAACTGTAGTGAAGAAAGTTAGACATTCTTTCTGCTTCCTAGACTGGCGGCTTTCTACAGCAGGCACTGTAAAGGTTTTCTTCTGAAATTACCAAAGCCAGCAAGTTCTGGATGGCTGCCACCATCAGTGTTTAATTTGCTGAATGGTAAAGGTCCAAGAGTAGACCACCTTGCTTCAAGCTTTCCCACCCCTTCATTTTAAGGCTAAGCTTTCTTATTTTGATACTTTATATATTTAATTATGCCCATATGAGATGTTACACACCTTTTCTACAAATCTAGTTGTGTAAGTGATTTCATTATATAGGAGCAGGCACCATTGATGTGCATAGCTTTTATTCTTAGCAGAGCTTTTGTAGGCCACGGGAGCCCTTTACCCTAGGTACTCTCAGGAAGCAATATTTAACTCTAAGTTGGTGCTTTGACACTTTTCCTGGTGTACCACAATTGTAGAGCATGTGCCGCACTGACCAATACAGAAATGTGTTAAACAACTTAGGACCCTCCCAGAGCTTTGATTCAGAGTTCAGATTCAGGGGTGATAAAAAAAATTATATATTTTCTGATTAAGCCATGTTCACGGTTTTATGATGCAACAAAATGTACAGCGCTAAATGCCCTTCAGGAAATTTGATAACGGTAAGGATCCGATTGATATCACCTCCGTGTCAGGCAATCATAAAAAGCATTTGTATAAATATATGTATAAAATAATTGTGTTACCAAAGTGTGTCAACAAGCGTCGTGAGTACGTGTCACAAATACACCTTAATCCAAGGATAAGATTAACGGCTTTCTATCATCAGGGATCTGGTGAGTGCATTCCCTAGAGGGGATCTGCCTGCTTTTTCTTCTTTGGTTTTTCGTTGGACACTTCACAAATTTGAACATTTCACGTATTTTTCTTTTTGCTTTTTGTCTTGAAGATTTGAGAGCTTAAAAACTTTAAGTTCATGTTTCTAATAACTTTCAGTTTATAGTTCGAATGAAAACAACACAGACTGTTTCATAATGTGGTATTTTTATTTATAATGTACATATATGACACATGCTTTCTGGATACCTTTATTTATTTTCCTTGGATTAAGGTGCATTTGTGACACGTACTTACGACACTTGTTGACACACTTTGGTAACACAATTATTTTATACATATATTTATACAAATGCTTTTTATGATTGCCTGACACGGAGGTGATATCAATCTGATCCTTACCGTTATCGAATTTCCTGAAGGGCATTTAGCGCTGTACATTTTGTTGCATCATTATTCTGAGGGCATTTAGCCGCTTTCCTTTCCTTTCGGTTTTAGAAAAATTATGCAATTTTAGTTCCGGGGTCATTTTATTAATTTTAATCTAGTTCTTACATTTTTACACTATTACTATTTCCATTAGCGCAAGTTCGTTTGGTTTACATGTTCACGGTTTGCATACTCTTTGTGACTTGTATACATTTTACATTGTGTTTTTATTGACAGATTAATCTCTGTAAAGCAAAGTGCAATGTGCAGTCATTTGTAGAAATTAATCAGAGTTCATCTGCTTTAAATTAAAATCTGATTAGCTCTGTTCTTTGCAAATTATCATTGCGATGCCAATGGGCATCGTATAAAACAAAAGATAAGTCAGCTTAAGTTCAATGTTTGTTCTTGCCAACATGAAACATTTCTTGGTGGGCACAATGGATAGTTCTAGAGGTTGTCCAGCTGTAGTTATATATCAATAATTAACTTTAAAATATTTACTGTGCCAGGAAGCTGTACGTTATGGGGAAACACTCATTTTATAGTTATTTGTTTTAGATGTGTCATTACTTTTATCTTCTCATGTCTTTCACACAAAATTTCAATCAGTAATACGCAAATATATTTTAATTGTCTTTATCATAGATCTACAAATGCATCTTTTAAGGATGCTCTGACTAGAATTGAGTCCCAGGAAGAATGTAGGAATTTGCCAATGATTTCTTTCCTCATCCTCCCCATGCAGAGAGTCACTCGACTTCCACTTCTTATGGATGTAAGCATTCCTTGTCTGACTGTTTATGGCATTTTTATTCTACTGAATGACTAAGAATATTTCCTGTTGCTTACTGCAGATGGTGGGGCTATTAGATCTCACTAATTTACTAAACGGGTTGTATGGAATCTTTATTATTCCAAAATAACATTGTCCTCATGTTCTTGATAATTTTGGTAGCTTGTTACAAAACCAGATTTCCCAATACACCCCATCACCCTTATTTCAAACATGCCCACGTTGCTCTTCATACAGTTACTGACCTTGATCTCAGATGTAGGGTACTGAAGCTTGGAAACAGGGAGCCATTTAATAGTACAAAAAGTAGACGGCAAACAAAATCCTAATCCACTAAAACTGTTTATTCATCCCAAGATGAATAAAAGCAAAAGCACAATAAAAAAAGGTTTTAGCAGCATATGTATGCTTTTTTTTGCTTTTGTGTATGTATATTAGTATATGCGCTAATATTGAATATTTAGAAACCTAAATGGGGCAGAATATTTTTTTTTATATTGTAATGACCGGTCCCTTTTGGCTCATTATAATTTCAGATACTTTGAACAGTTATTAGATTTCGCCATTTGCATGCAATGTGTAATGTAGTCTGTTTTGGTCTTCAAATATATTCAACCATCTAAATAACAACTTTTGCACTTATATGCTACTGAGATTCTTGTGTTTTAGAAGCTAGAACTGGGTATTGTTTGCAGATGCTGAAGGCATTTGTTCCAGCTCCTGTTAATTCTTCTTTCACTTAATGTCTCTTAACTAACCACAAGCATTTGAACTCCCAGGCACTGCCTGTACGCTCCAGTGTGAGCTATCAGCAAAGGTGAATCAGAACATTACCTCCCATGTAGGACTGCATGTAGGGGTGGGGCTTACCTAAATAGCACAAGCCTCTGATAAAAAAAAATGTTAGCCAGTTGGACGTTCTTTTCTGGTAAGCTGAAGTGTATAAATTCTTGAATTACAACTCCGATATATTATGGTAACTTTATTATAGTGTATATGTTTAATGGAAGCCTGATAGCAAACGTTCAATATAAATGTAATCTTTGACTTTAAGTTCTTTTAATGTCCAGTTCTAACTAGACATTATGTTTAACATAGACAATCTGTCAGAAAACACCAAAAGATTGTTCAAGATATGAAATCTGCAAAAGTGCCTTGAAAGAAGTTAGCAAGGTAAGTGTAATGCATCCTTTCTTATATCTGTGAAGGTTCTCATTCATCCAGGTCATGGTATATCTGTAAAAAATAAATCAAAGCAACTGGACTTGCTGTGTTTTTCTTGAAGACGTTTCATTGGTCATCCGATTAGCTAGTCGGATGACCAAGAAAACATGTTTAACCACTTCCCGGCCGGCCGTTGTAAAAAGCTCTCTAGATCTGAGCGGGCGTCTTTAGACTACAGCTCAGCCATGCCCCTTGCGCATGCCACACGACGAGCAGGATCTGGAAAGTCCTAAAATGTAAAAACGCAGCGATGCCTGTTAACATACAAGCGATTTGCCGGCTATAGAGCCGGCGGATCGCTTGTTTGAGGTCCCGGTATGTGCGCCCCCCTCCACGGCTCCCCCCTCCCGCTGGTCCCGGGCTCCGCTGTGCCCGATGTGAGCCTGGGAATCTTCAGGGGGGTACTAGGTGACATTAGGGGTATTGGAGTACCCCTGATGTCTCCATAAAGAGGACCTGTCACATCTTTTGCTATCACATCAGGGTTTCGTAGCCCCCTATGTGATAGCAATAAAGTTAAGTGAAAAAAAAATAGGAAACAAAATTAAAAGTTTCCCCCCCAAAAAAATTTAAAGTTACACATAAAAAAGAAAAAAAAAATTCAAGTCCCGCCCCATACATACACGCATGCAAACATGCGTCGGGTGCGCATACGTGCGGAAACGACGATTGCGCCCATTACGCCACACATGTTACATATCGTCATGAACATCAGAATGAGAGCAATAATTCTAGGGCCATCAATCACTGATAACACTAAACTGATGAGCGGTAAAAGCTTTTCAAGTGTCGCCTATGGTCAATTTTGGGTATGGTAGTTTTTTGCGGGTGCGCGCAATTTTAAAGCGTGACATGTTTGGTGTCTATTTACCCGACGTGTCTTTTATATTTTACCAAAAATATGGGTAATAAATCATTGTTTCCTAACATAATGAAAAAAACTTTTTTTTTTTCACAATTTTCAATAATTTTTCCTTACTATAACAAAAAATAAAACCTGCAGTGGTGATTAAATACCACCAAAGGAAACTCTATCTGTCCCCAAAAAATGGTATAAAATTCATTTCAGTACAGCGTTGAATGACGGAATAAACGTCAGTCAAAGTACTGCAGCGCTAAATACTGAAAAATAGCCTGGCCGGGAAGGGGGTCTAAACACCTGGTCTTCAAGTGGTTAAGAAAAATGCAGCAAGTCTGGTTGTTTTGATTTATTTTTTACAGATACATCCTTTTTTATATTGCAATGTGAAACCAAGACAGTGTGTCTTGTGTTTCCAATTGTATTTCTACTTGTTTCTAACAATTATAAGGTAACTAGATTAAGGCTGGATTTACACCAAATGCACCAGCCATTTTTTCCAGCAGATCTCCATTCCCAGACCAGGCAATTTGCCTTGTCACAGATGAGCACAGTTAACACTACAGCAGGTGTTTGCTGAAAAAAAGTACTGCATCCAGTAGTTTTTTTCAGCGCAGTGGGCTGTCACTCAGTGCAACCACATTGCACCGCCCTGTGCCCATAGAACTTAATGAAATATCACTTGTGACATTTCAATGAAGTTCTAACAAAAAAGGTAAACAGTTGTAGCGCAGTTGCTGGTGTGAATCCAGCTTCTGTTGTCCAATTTCTGGCAAAAGTTTTCAGCTTAGCAAGATGCCATTTCTGGGAAAGACCAACCAGTCTGAATGTGATCAGAAGTCATTGTGAACTGCTATTGTCATTAGTTGCATAGACATGTGTTCTCAAGTTTGACCTGAACCTGTAGCTAATCCCTGACCACAACAAAAATGAGACCTACAGTGACCCGATAAATATAAAATAAAAAATACAATTTTTGGAACATTAATGTTGGATGCAACATGTAATTTGCGCTTTGCAGCGTAATGTGTACAGTTAAGTGTTAAAAAAATAGACTTTCAAATAGAAAAAAGCAAAGTTTATGCTTTCTTTAATTAAAGTGTAGCCTAAATGTAATGGGTAATTATGTGTTGCAGCACAGAATTGGATAACTTGTTTAAAACTTACATACCTAAGCATTCTGTTATTTCATACTTCTATAAAAAGTATCTTATGTGAACAGAGAAACATATGGGCTATGACTATACTGTATGTACTGATATTTGCTTGGGGACTGCCATTTAAGGATGAACTTGTAAGCTTTAAACAACTGATGTAACTATCTGGGAATCATGAGTGCAGAGAATGTCTCTATTGTGTCATACAGTTTTAAAGAACCAATATAATTACATCATTGACCCATCACGCAATGGTTTTTTAGGGTTAGGCTCTTTATTAATAAATATTGCTGGATATTTATTGTTGTCCTGTGGGGTCTTAATCTTAAGACTGGCTCAGATGTCACTATAACAGCCAGAAAATGCATAAAGCCCCAGCAGGAGTAACCTTGTTTCAAACCTAATCATGCTCAACAGAAGAATTACTGTATAATGCTATGATAGAAAATAGTTGACTTGTTAAAGAGGGCCCGATATTTGGTTACCCCTGATTAGTTATTGGCAGCTCATAATTATTTATATTCAGTGCCTCTATAACAAGGACTCAACCCATTGTTTGGTTAATTTGGCACTGTTAAATATGACTTTTTTAAATGACAAAACCACCAAAAATATTTGATGTTATTTTTTCAGGTTTGTTTAACTGCTCATATTTCTTAGGGACACACTGTCGGTGTAGCCACCTGAAAGACTTTCAGTCCATGACCAAAGAGGGAGCCTGAGAGTTGCTATTCCACTGGGATTGTGGCTGCACTGCCAGTGTGTGGATGCACAGATCTTGGATTCCATTCTGCAAGCCAGTAGTGAGAGAGTGGTGAATCCGGTTCATTATCTAGCAGCAAATGTTCAGTAACAGCGGACCAGAGAACACTGTATTCCTTAGGAGTAAGAGACATCCAGGGGAATTCAGTATCGTATTGTGTCTGAATTCTGGCGCTAATGCAGCCTAAGACATGCTTGCGCCAAATTCTAAACCATGCTGCGCAATTTTCCAGACCTCTACTGATTCCTGCTCCAAATGAAAGTAGTTCTTATTTGCGCCATATTTCATTCTGGCGCAGTGCTTGCAATATATTCAATAAATAATCTCCCGACAGTTCAGTAATAAGAAAAGTGATGCAAAGTAAAATCAAGAACTGTTGCACATTCATATTGTACTGTATATGTCTGTCGCAGTATGCAATAAATACCTCAGGTACGACATCCCTTGAAACTGAACATCCAACTGAAATCTGTCTCGGACACATAGGCACCACATTGGACAGAGATGGTACACATCTTTGTATTTTATTAGTGTGCATGTAGCTTTCCCAAAGTTTGTTTTGCAAGTTAGTGCCAGTTTCATAGGATTGTGCCACATTCATGAATGCTGTGCACCCTTGAACATGAATTTGGTGCAAATAATGACACTATTCCTGTAACCCTGAGACGCTTTTCTTTTGTGGTTTAACCACACTCTTTTTTAAATCCCCTGATCATTTTCACCAGCACTAAGAGAATTTTCTGCTGACAGCAGTGTGTGAGTAAAATCTACATTGCCGCAGTTTTAACTTTCTGTTTCTCCCAGTTGCTACAACTAGATACTTTTAATACAGCACACATTTGCTACTGTGGTGTCTATGATACTAAAGTATCAAAGTGTTTGTGGAAAAAAGATTGATATTTGGCAAAAACAATTGGATCTGAGATGGAGAGCGGAGTGTCTTTTTTTAATAATATGAGGGATATGGAGGCCTGAACAGTTGATAAGTTTAGGCTGAGATAGCGTGTTACCTTGAGGTTAACAATCTGTTTATTAATATTCCCAGGCACAATTTTCCACACTGTGAGAACAGTAATTAACATTCCAGACGAAACGGCACTGGCACTGACAGCACCAGAACTGACCATAGGGAAGCAGTCAGTATTGGTCCTGATCTATAGGTCAGTATAGGTCCTGACCGGACAAACAGAGTTGCATAAACCGCATCTCCAGACAGCTAGTTCTGATCACTTGAGGTTTGTTTACATGCAAACCTTTCCCTGCTACAGCTGTCACTCTGCCGCACTTTCTGTTAACTGTTATGGACAAAGAAAGAGGCATGGTGTAAGAACGTAAGTATTAAGGCTCTTGCACATAGCTGCCTGTGGGCCACACAACATAAATTCTGCCATATTTCCCCCACTAGGGAGCCACAGGTGTTGTGTTCAGCCTCCCATAGAAGTCAATGGCTTTACACTGGCATACACCAGAGTTGCATAAACCGCACGATCCCGAGTACAGTCTGTGTATACCTGCACACAGCCGTGTACAGCCATTGACTTCTGTGGAGGCTGTACGTAACACCTGTGGCTCCATGACAGTGAAAATACGCTGGAATTTACGGTTGTACGACCACAGGCAGCTGTGTGTAAGAGCCCTTACAGCCTCTTTTTTCAGGTTCTAATAAAACATAAATAGGATATTTATTAAAAAGTGCCCCACTTGAAAGCTGTAGGTGATTTAGTTAACTGATGCATAGTAATGCTGCTAAATTTGATCTGGATACTTAGGCTTCAATGACCTCTGGCCATGAAGGAGTTAAAGCCTGTATTGCTGACATTGCCACAATTGTTGTCAGAACACTTCCTTGATAACATTAATGTTGGATGTTGCTCTGCAAAAATATATTCTAAGGAGGCTTGCAGGGGACTTTACAGTTTGCCATTGATTCCTAAAAGTAGTTCAAGGTGACTACTAATAAAATTAATTTACACAAAGATTCACTGTTGGCATTTCTGAATATACTCCTTAGGAGAACTAATACTTTTAAGGTTGCCACACGTTACCAATATGCGGCAATACAAGACACGTGTTGAACAACGGCCATGCCATTTATTTTTAATAGCTCCCCAATGCACCATGCCAATGTGCATGGGTTTAAGGCATGGGTTGCGGCACATCCAACTTTTTTGGGATGTTTTAGTGCTTTAAAAATAATGGGGTGACTTAATGCAATGCACTTGAATGAACGTGTCACGCGAAAGTACTGGGCTCTTAGGGTATGCTTTATCCTTTTTTTCCCCCCCAGCTAATCACATTTAAGCCACATACATTGATTACAAAAAGTGTGAACAGAATAGTATAATTTTGTACTTACTGGACACACTGATGGGAACTTATCAAAACTGGAGCAGGCAGAATCTGAAGCAGCTGTGTATGCCAACCAATCCGCTCCTTGCTTTCATTTTCAAATCTTAACTGAAGAAATAATCTGATTGGTTGCCATAGTCAACTACTCCAGATTTTGTCTGCTCCAGTTTTGATAAATTTCCCCCAATGTGTCCACATAACTGCTGGAAAAGTGACAATGTGTTCGAGCTGTTGACCTGCTATCAGGCTAAACCTTTAGTTTTGAATAGCGTAGGGCAGGGTTAGAACTCCCGTCAAGTTTACATAGCTGTCTCTATCCACTTTGGGTAGATTAATTCCTCTGTTTGTACTGGTGGCCCCTGTCACCAAGCAAGATATTGAGGGTAAATCCAAAATGTTAGAGTTGGTAAGGTCAACCAGCTAAATGTGGAATTACCCACACTTTGTGAGATCTCTAACTTCCTGTTGTGTCTCTGGGAAGTTAAGTGAAATTTACCAATAGTACACACACACACAAAATAAATAACCCTTTTCTATACATACACTTTTGAGATGATTTGCAAACAGTCTAATCCTGCTCTTCTTTTAGAAAAGTGAAAAAATGTAAAGTGTTAGTAGTTTAACAATAAGCTTGGAGAATAATTACAGCTAGTACCGTGCTTGATGAACTAACATTAGTTGTCAGCTGCGTTTCTTGCACATGTTAAGACTGATCACCACCCAAGGCATTCGGCATTCCAGGCAGTGTTACCTTATACACATGATAGATAGTGATTTGTTCTACACTAGTTAGGTTTCAAGGATTCGTGGTCTCCAGCCGGCAGGTCTGTCTGTATTTAGCACATCTATAGAATTGTGCTCTCTCTACTTTTAGAGAAATAGCTCTCCATTTGCTGACTAGTCATTCATTGACAGGCTTGGATTTCAGAAGTACACATCACTTGCCTTTAAGGCTTGGAGGAGCCTGGAGAGTAATATCATATCATTTATCATTACTGTCTCTGAGAATGAACTCCTACCAGATCTTGAAGGTTGGATTACATATGCATAAAGTGTTTTTACTTTATTTATAGGAAAGTGCTTCTATTGAACACTTTGGTATGCATGTTAAATGTTCTCAAGCTTTACGACAGCAAACATGATGGCACGTCCATCTGTTATTTATTAAAATTGGAAAGATCCTCTGCCAAAAGTGAATGGGCTTAGCCATTTATATAGGTGATTGTAATTAGAGTGGAGTGTTGTGTTTTACAAGATTATATGTAATGTAGGCACACGTATGTAGTGTAGCTCTAAAAGTTTAAAATCCAAGAGGAAGGAGACTGGGAAGCTTCATTAGTAATGCAGATCCTTTATAGTGTGTCCGTGGATCTGTCCTATTGGGTCTCTTATAAACTCTCAGTAGTGGCACACAATTAATTATCACTGGGGATGGGTATCTTGTTACATACTTGCTAATACTGCATGATCGGATGCCCCCTCAGATATCAGGATTGGTCAATCCATAAAGCTAAGGTGCATAGCTTTACCTTAGATTTCTAAAAGTATATATAACTTATGAATCAGTAATATTTACCATTATTTAAGCCATCAAGTGGCATGCGCTGACTTTTTTGCATCCATGTAATCCAGCGTCAATCATGATGAACAATGCCTGCCAAATCGCAGAAATTGAAAAAAAAAAACGCTGCACGCCGACCCAAACGAAGACTCGCCGCAAAATGACAGCTCTGGCCCAAATGTAAACAAATGGGCAAATGGGCTTGTTCCGCCCATTTGTTGACATTCTAAGCTGTCATTCATATAACAAAGAAAGTCTTTCAGAACGGTATTCGGAAGCTCCTGAATGCTATTCGGAAAGACTTTGCTTTGTGGGAACCCCACACACTTTTTTGTTTTTAACCCCTGGGGAGGGGGGGGGG